TGTGGCACGTACTTCTGTAATAGCAATGCAAATACGGGAACCCTCCTAACAAGATGTCTTTGAAATAATGCAGGGGAAAACATCTCCAGATTACACATCAGGAAATTGAGATGAAGAAATATTAAATACAGTGTCCATTAGTAGGAAAAAAAAGTAAACAACCCTCAAACATTCAACACCTAAGCCTGGATTTTTTCAGAGATTCTCAGATGCCAGAACAAAAAAACAACCTTCAGATGTTTCAAATTCAGAACCTGAAAATGAAGCTCCAGGAAAAAAGCAGTCACCTCCAACAATTCAATAGCATTGATTTCACCACCTCAGAAGTCTAAAGCAAATTAAGTATTGGGCTCATTTTTTTTTTTTAATGGGTAAGAGTCAATTCATCACAAGAGCATTCTTTCTTTACCTGCAGCCCCCTGTTTCTTCACAATGGAGAAGCATTCACACTGCTTAGCTCTAGGCATCTGCTGAGTGCCTCAACTGGGCGCTTAGGCTCTGAAAAGGAAGGCCCCTAAACTGGACAACATTAGACAGTGTGAACAACCTCCAAAAAATAGTTTAGCTTCACAAATATGGCAGAGTTGCTACATATAGCATCCATTCCTACCACCAAATTCTGATAATTGCCCCTGGGAAAAATAACGTGCGAGCAGTTATCTGAAGACCGTATAAAAAAATCTATAAAATACTTTACTCGTGCAGGTAGATGGGCAATACCAGATGTAAGTGGAGAATCACTGAGAATTCAGACTACTTTGTAAATTGCAGAATTCGTTACCTTTTAAATGCTGGAGCTTGAGAGCTTTTCCACCTCTCCCAGAAATTTTGGTACTCAGTATAAAAACTGAGGAAAAAAGGAAAAAATTGCAAGTTGTCCTATGCAACCAGAGTGATTTGCCTAACTTGTCTACATGAAAGGGCTCTGAAGCCAAAATGTCCACACCGCACATCTCCGCCACTGAACGTCAGTTGGTAAAGGTTTTTTTTCCAGGTTTTACTGTGCAGCTCGAGGAAGGGTATGCAAACAAGCATCACTGGGCCTGTGACAACTCATGCTGCCTATAGCCTATCTGCAGGCACAGGAAGCTCTGGGGAACTCAGATGCACACACAGGCAGTTCAGAAAAAACCAAAAGTAAGGACGATGCTTCACCTTACATGCAAACAAGAGGTATCTGCAGCTTTCAATGAATATAAATGTTATTTCCATGGAGATAACACAAGGCATTCCTCTGATGCTACGACCCCTATCATCTGTTAGGGTTCCTGTTCAAAAGCACACAGACGCTAACGTTCTTAAAAATCAATGCTGACAGGTTTTTTTAGCAAAGGCAAAATTATTTAGTTCTCACAAGGCTTGGTCTTGAAAAATGGTCAAACCACTTAGCCTGAACTTGCCAAAAACTCAACCTGAGTCAGAAATCAAGCTTGGAAGATGTCAGTCAGAATGAACTGAACAAAATCTGGCAGATATGTGAGCAATTATGAACTAAGGTCTACAATAAAGTGTATTATGCAAACTTAATGTTAAATGCCAACAATGCTGTGCTGGAAGTACTGTGTTTTGCAAGCTACTGATATATACATCTATTATTCTTCATAAGACCTGGACACTAAGAACTTCTTACTGCAAATAATAGACGCGTTAGTTAAAGCACGTGTAAAGTTACAGCGACTTCTACAAAACTGAACTCAAGTCATCCTTACACATACAGGATTTGGAGGATCAGCTTCCAAACTACGAATATATTCTCCCCACCATTTTTTTAAAAGAGCATTTATTTGTTACGCAGAACGGGAAATGTATGCTAAAATAAACTGCCGTTTAAATATACCTTGTTGCAAGGTACATTACAAAAGCAGATTTGTCAAAGTGTTAGTTCTATACTTACAGAATTTTTTAAGCAATCATCATCCACATCGAAGTTTGATGTATCAGTGGGGCTGCTGACTTCTGGGATGTAAGGTGCCTCACAGTTTCTAATATTATCCCAGTCAATTCCAGCAAAAAACGGATGGTTCTTAAAGTCTTCTATCCCATTTTGTCCAAGTCGATGCTCTCTGCTACAAATGAGCCTTCGAATGAGGTCCTTTGCACTTTCAGAGACATCCGCCACTTGAGTGGGAAACTGAAATCTCTCCTTAAAGATTAAAATAAGAGAGAATAGTTTATTACCAAGAAAAGGTTGAAAAATCACCTTTCTTGGTGAAAATTACTGTGCAGAAAAAGAAATATGCTAATACTCAGGCTCTCAGAGCTAAACAAATGCAGTACGGTTTCTAGGAAAAAGACTTTCCCAAAAGATGGAAACTACTGAAAATGTTATGTCTTCTAGTTTTTCTTGCTTATTTAAATTTCTCTCATACATTCTTGGACTCTACAACTGCCTCCAGGTGGAAGAACATTTAAGAATCTACTGCATAAGCCAACAAATGGATCTGCCAGAAGAAAGCCAAGCAAAAGGAGTGATGTAATGTAGCCAAGGCTTACTCCTTCGAGTGAGCTAACAGCCACTTTCCCAAATTCAGATTTTTTGTTTTGAAGTGTTTTATCCCAAAGCAAAGCCATCTGCGTTCCATAACCATAAACTTACTACATGGAAACACATTTTACATTCGACATTTATGAACATGAACAAAATTATTACTTAAGAACTCATTTTTTAAAAAGCCTCTAAGTTACCCCTTTTACTTATTAAAAATTAGCTTAGAGAGAGACAGAAAGAGGAAGTGCACTAACTTTGTGGTTCATTATTTTCCCATAGGTCTCCACCAAGGACTCTGCATAAAAGGGCGTTTCTCCATAAAGCATTTCATACATGCAAACGCCTAGGGACCACCAGTCACACTCAGGCCCATACTTCCCTTTTCCGTCTTCCATGGCCTGCAAAATTTCTGGAGAGATGTAGTCTGGAGTTCCAACTGCCACTGAAGATTGCACCTGTAGAAGTTACAATTCCATCACTACAATCAATTTCCATCATTACCGACCCTGCTCTGTCTGGCGCTGTGCATATACTCAGATTTGGTCTAATGTTCCAGTTGTAACAATCACATCTAAATACAAAAAAGGCTTCTAGATTCATAAGGAAGTACTTAGGCATCCAAGCCACTTCGTTAATAGGCATTCCAATAATTTACTTTGGATAAACCCTTCTAAATATTCAATACGGGAGAAAGAATGAATCTGTCAATTTTTATGCTTGAGGTTGTTATTAAGTAATTACATGTTAGGTAATCATATATGTTAAATCAAATACTTTGTAACACTCTGTGCCATGATTAACACACTGGAATGACATACTTGTCACACCTATACGCTCTGCAAGTTTAAATATATCACTGAAATAGGATGATGTGCTATCAATGGTATCTTACCCTGCTTATACTAAAGCTTGCACTTTCAGTAAAAATTGGAGCTCAGGGCTCAAAACTGAGAGGTTCATAGTTCACCAACAGACACACATTCTGTATTGATAGTGCATCTTCCCTTTATTTATTTCTGGGTTGATATATGCATTTAAAAAACTTTAACAAACAGCAAGTCTAGGCAGTATGTAGCTTCTATTTATTTTTTTTAAACTGAGGTTAGTTGCATACCAATACCATTACCATTCCATTTGAAACACTTTTTCTCTTTAATTAGCACATATTTTAGTCACAAGCAAAGGACAGAAGAAAAGGTGTTTGGGAATATATCGTTCCAATTTACCGTTCCATCTTCCATCAGTTTCAGACAAGAACCAAAATCTGCTAATCGAATATGCCCGTTCATATCCATCAAGATGTTGTCTGGTTTAATATCCCTGCAAATAAAACATATTTCAGAATCAGTACAAAAACATAAACAAGAGAATACTATTAGCTCTGAACTAGAAGTACGTGAAACTTTAAAATCAGCTAAAGAATTCTAGTGGAACACTCTCAGTGGAAGATGCATACTTATACTGGAGATGTAAAATAATCTCCAAGATTACTGTAGAACAAAGGTCAATGAAACCCTGAAATAATTAATGCATCATGAAATTGAATGTCTTTCGTCTAATTTTTTTCTCATGTACATAGGGAGCTGAGATACACTTCTGTCAAACTTCTGCTGAAATAACCAGCAAAGCCATCAGTCTTGTATCATGCTTTTATTACAATAAATACTTTCACACGTATTTATCTACATATAATAATTCATCTGTTAGATCTGAACTTTTAAAAGTGCATATTATGAATTTCCATTTAGTTTTACAAAATTAAATCCCGATTCACTCATGACCCTAGGAAGCTCATTTACAAAAGTGGAAGTGTTACTATAATTTCTCCTTTTTCCCTGTCTGTTCAAGGCAACTTCTTTTTTCTCCCGCTAAAATGATTCAGGCACTTAACCACCCCACGGTTCAAACGCGTTTGGAAGAGAAGCTATGGTCCTAATTATTACTAAAGTTGCAGTCCTCCCATTCCTGATGCCCTGTGCTGCCCCAGTCCCCAGGAGCGAAGGCAGGTACAAGCAGCAGAGAGCTGGAACGCGAAGTAGCCAGCAGGGCTGGAGTATCCCAGCAGATCCCAAGTCACGAACAACATGTCACAGCCCAAGTCACGAGCAGGGCTTTCGGGCTACAGCCAGTCCAATACCACCAGTGAGTCAATGCCTCACAAACTGTGCCCCGTGATGTGAAAAACAGGTATTACGGAACACGAGGAACAGAGCTGATTTGGCCTTAGATGCACTTATCTCCTTATTTTAAGCACAGCTGTTGTTCTGGGTAGCTCAGGTTCCCCCGCACAACCAGGCTGATGACTTGAAATACTTATGGAAGCAAAGCTAAAAAAATCAAAGCTAAAATTAAATGCACCGCTAATTCAAATCAAATTCACAAGTCAGTTTCCAATCTACTGTATCTTGGGACTTGCATATATTAGCACTCAAATGCAAAGAGGTGTGACAGGGTAAATAAACAAAGCAAAATCTCAGCTTCAAGAGTCAAGGAAAAGCAGGCAGCATAGGGTGGCCCATGCTGTAAACAAATTTTAGCAGCCACCTCAGAAAAACGCAGAAGCATTCACAAAATAAAAAAACCCACTACTTAAGAAATCACACTTTTTACGTAAGAGGGCATAACAAAGAAGATTCTTCACAAAGTAAAACATAAAAATTAACTGAGAGCATTCCCTAAATAACACCTTTCAGTTCAATTTTTTCTAACACTGAATATGCCAAAGACTTATGACCTCTAGATTGAGACAGTTTTGCTTATTTTACATTGACCCCTCCAAAACATTCCTTAAGTATGTTCCTAAATAAAAATAAACACATGCTATTGAGACCTCTGGAGATACAATTTCAGCATAAAACACCTTGCAAAAACATGCATCTAAAATCAAGTTCCTCTTAGAAGCTGGACCTAGTTCAAGGTAAACAAAAACACGAATCACCTTTGAGGCGCCATTTCTCCAAGTTCTATCTTTTAATACATTGCCGGG